CGAGTTTCATTTTATGTATTTAATGCGGTGCGATGCGAGTCTTTCATCGCCGTAGATTAGGCCAAAACAGTTAAAATAGATCGGTGTGAGAAGACAAAACGCCTAATCAGTCCATGCGTGCATAATACAGTAAGTTGGCTGAGATAGCAGCCGAGACGCAGTAAGTGGTACTCATTTGTAAGCCTTAGGACGGGCATTGCTGCCGTCGGCTGATGAATATGAATGCTAGGGATGTGTACAGAGTGCCTGTCGAACAGCGATTGACTATGTCGCCTATTGGTTAAACTGGTATTACTTAATTGGTACAATTTTTTATCAGAGAAACTGTACGATTACGTACTGGAATGGAAATACTTCTGCTGAAAGACCAGACTGAAAGGTGGTCTTGAAAGACCAACAAGATCAAAACTTAAGTTTAATTTTCAAACGAAATACACTTTCATTTAATAGGTATGTGATTTTGAAGACACCCTAATATTACGAAGGCTTAAACAAATAATTTTCAGTGCTTGTCTAACAATATAATTCAAGAAGAATCACACTTTTAGTTGCCTTCTAAAACTCAAATAAGAATCAGGTCGAATGAAACACCCTTATCGCTATTTCTTTTCTAACAAGACTAAAGCATTAAGTACCTATCTGTTATCTAGAATAGGAAGGAATAGCACATAATACCTTGTTCTCAAATGTTTACCACGACTGAATGTTAGGCGTCTAATCCACCCTTTTTGGAGAGAACACAATCTAGAAACTCTGTGGCTTGAATACCTACCATCCTTAATTAAATCAGTTAATATAACGTTGAGTAGGCAACGACGCACGCTAAAGATACGATTTTGTATTACAATTTCACAAAATTATCTCTGGTATGACTTAACTTATTAACAACAAAATTGTTACGGTAACATTATAGGCATATTTGATATTGTTTACACTGTTTAGTATTATTTGCTTTGATCCTATTTAAAACACCAAATTAAGAGTAACGAAAAAGTAAATAATTGAAAAACTCAACAGACTTCGCTTTATCTAAAACAGTCAAATTCACACCACGCGAATGCTTTATCCAAAGTTTAATATTTTTTGGAGGACTGTTTTTGAGGTATGCGATTCAAATGGCATTATTTTTATATAAAAAGATACAACTTAAAGTAGAAATCATTTGCACACCTTTCCAGAATATCTAATCAAGCAAAAAAAAATATTCCACATAATTTAACGTCACTGATATTTTAAGTAAACTCGAATGAAACGAAACAGGTTGGTAAATTCAAGCTGCGTTCACTCGCAAAATTAGCCTTATCGGAGCGAATTGAAATGGCCGACTAAACATTATAATTAGCATCCAGCTCCAGCTATACATCTCTCTAAAGCCTTTTTAACACACGCTGGGAGACATATAAGCTACGGAACTTTTATCGTCTTCCATGCTAGCAATTGTTATCAAGAGTACATATAATATGTAAGTACATTCGTAATAATGAATAAAGCTGAACTACTAGCTTTGAAACTTTTTTTTCCTACCTATGCTGGTAGGGTCCAGGGGCTATACCAGCTTAACCGGGCGAGTAAGTGAGCTCATGGGGCTCAACCTGACGAGCTCTGAGCCACTGAAGAGATTAAAACATCAGTTTTAATGTTATTCGATCTATTGAATGTAAGACAGGGATATCTCCGCGTAAAATAAACATCAATAGTCACGTAAGCCCACAAAATTCCGTTATTACTAAATCAAGGGGTATTAAATCGCATTGAAGAAGAGCCTAAGATTGGATTCATTCGCACGTATTGAGTGAGGGCGCCTGAGCAGTAGAGTAACCCTTATTGAAGATAAAGTCATAAAACATAAAGTCACATTAAAAATAAGATATGATATTTACATAAATAAGGTTTAAAGTGTGGGTGGCTTAAAAGGCATGAAGTTTTATGCGTTAACGTCACTTAATGTAGATAGATAGGTAGAGATATACGTAGATCCAATACTTACTTCAAGTAAAGACTTACTTGATAGGGTATTTTATGAAGTACTTTTAGAGGTGGAATAGACGTTATTCAATATAATTCAAATTTTAATCTTATATCTCAAGGTAGATCTTGGGATTCGCGTTGTCCTGTTTATTGGCACCGGTAGTAACGTAAAACCAAATCGCGAGTGAAATATAGAGATATTAAAATAAAAGGTTCTCAACGACTTGGAATCTTCGCGGACTGCGATCGAGGTAATCGTCGTCACTTCCCGACCGTCAGTCGACAGCTGGAAGAGCAACCTGGTCAGCTATGTATGGCGTTCCGACACGGCATGCTGGTTTTGACCCAGCGGGGTATCCCGGAACACTAGCGACACCGCCTGGGCGGCCTGACGGACATCATCGGACGCGATCGCCTCGACGGCCTGTCGACCTGGTACTACCGCCAGTCTGATTATGATGTTCGCCGCGGGAGCACACCTACTCTGCCCGGGTTCTTATCTCAAGTGGATATCAGACGTCGGATGGGAGAGTGCAAGAGGAGTCGTTTAGTGGGTAGGACCATAAAAACACCTTGGGCCCGCGATCTGCTCCTAACACCGTCATCGAAAAAAGGGGCCTTGAATCTTGTATACTCTCGGTGGAGATCTCGTACCTGACGTGTAATTTGGCCACATATCTCACCATAGTCTTTTTTTATACTCTTGAAGTAGACGATCACAGCCAAGCCGGTGGCATTTGTGCTGTAATGTTTATATAACCGTCTAACATTAAGTAAGGTAACTTATATAAATTATATCTTTAGGTGTAGAACGAGTCTAACACACCGGAGATGATTCAGTTGTGCCGTCCAATTATTTTAAAATGGCCGAAAAGCGCGCGCTTGGCGACCGCGGCCCGGCGCTACGCTAATGGAATAACTGGACCTCATACTTACTTTTACAACTCACGATTTTTATAAGAAAATACTAATAAACTCATGTTAAGGTATTTTGAATATCAAAAAAGTAGTGTCGTGCTATTTCTCTAGAGCACAGAATAGGTAGTCGTTTTTTATTGCATTATGTGATAATACTAGCTCAATAATCAATAATAATCAAGAATTCCACTTGGCCCAACTGCTGTGCCAAGGAGTAACCGACTATGATGATGACTAGTTCAAGTTCTACCAGATGAAAAGTGGCTACAGAAGTCCATAGTCATCACAAATGAATACCACCACTATAGTTAGACAAGAAGCTTACAGGTTCCATGTGGCCCGATTCTTTTGAAATTACATACACGTTTAATCAAATCGTACTCTATAAATAGTTTTGACTCATGTTTTACGGCCGTAGAAAGGTGGCACTTTCGTAAAATTCGAAATTGATATTACAGGCAGGACGCGGATGACGCAGCCTTCCATACCGATTTAGATAAATATTAAATTTTACATTAAAGATGTGAATACCAAAAAGAACAGCAAAGTTAATAGATTTTAACGATATTTGTTATCTGTGGAGCCACCAACGCGAGCTGGTTGTAGGCTTTATCAATTTTACAAGTAACTTCATTATGCACGCTGGAACATAGACGATACCTAAAAAAAATATATCGATGCTTGATTGTTATAATAAAAAGTCGATAAAACTTGAGTCGTGTGCGCCATTAAAACTCAGTTTTACGACCCGGACCGTCCGAGTTTTTTTTTATTAAATTTTTAATAAATGTACCTTCATAAAGCCTCTTTACCTAAGGTCGCGACATCTTGGTGTTCCCAACGAGAATAATTTACATTTACTGAATTAATATTACGTACATTAAAACATTTTATTCTTGTTTAAATGGTAACATTTATTTCTAGTTTTGATATTAATTCGAATAAACGCGAGTGTGTCGAATATGTAAGGTGCTCACATCTTTTAATACTGATGCTCATATAGTTGTTTCATTGAATTGATCACCTCGTTGGTCACGTGGTTAATTACATTGACTGTTGTTTCATAGGATCCGGGTTTGAATCAGTACTATCTTTTTTAGAAATGCTTAAATCGGGGTTTGGGTGTATGCTTGTGTTGTATTTGTTTTGGGCATCCACAACATAGGAGAAAGCCGCAGCCTGCAGCCAGAAGATACCAAACGAAAGTTTTATAGACTATGTATTACATAAACAGCTCGTTATTTAATTTTATAAAAATAATGTATTAACAACTCACAATTTTTTATTTTACTTAAGAAGTTTTTATAGTAGGTACTTGGACCTCAAAGCAATAATTAAAACCCTGTGAACAATAAAAAAAATAATTAAATTATTTACTCTTCCGAGACCACCCTATATTTTGTGTATTCGAAGACGAGACTAAAACTGTGAACCACATATGCTCTTTTCTGATAACTGTTCATCAGGTGTACGAAGGCTTCGTCATCTCGCGTAGTGGTGACATCAACTGGCCACCGAGATCGTGGGACTTAACATTGCACGACTAATTTATGTGGGGTTACGTGAAATCTCAATCATATCGCGCTCTTACCAGTACGAAGGATTAGGTACATAGCCGTTGCACTGTAAAACTGATATTTAGAACTCATGTCACAAGGTAGGTTTCGAAATTAGAATTGTTGATGTCTATGGGTTCCAGTAAGCGCTTAATACCAGCTGGGCCGTAAGATCATCTACCTATTGCAATAAAAATTAATATCACAAAACTAAAAGACTAGGCTGTATGATGTGATCCTTTAGTCGTTCCTGTTGGAAAAATGGAACAACTACTGTCATTATGTCAAATAAAATTAGAGGTTATGTTTATGTATGATTTGTTGATAGAATCAGACTTTACCAGACCAGTTAAAAATATGTTTGAGTATTGTTAATCTAAAGGTTGAATGAATTTAATGAATAATATCAGACTGGAACTATAAACTATCATTTAAACTTCTACCAAATACGCATTGTTTTGTAGTGGCCCACTATAATTTACTATAATTATATTCGGAAATAGTAATAAATTGTAATATTATGATGATAAATAATATTTTAACTTTGACTTAATTAAAATGGTTGGTAAGCCATACAAATGTGTGAACTGTGGAGTGGAAGCTTCAGCTCTATACAGAACTTACGGCACTGTTATTAAATTAACGAAATGTGTGAGTTTTGATAAAATTAAATTACTGGTTTTCGACGACACCGCGCGCTCTTTAATATCTCATTTCAATGAAAGACCCAACAAAACCTTTTTATTGCTTCAGAGTAGTCGTAGTAGACGGCCAGTAGAACTTTTTCAACCAGAACAAATGATTGCATGACAGAGTATGATGATACCTACTATTTTATTAATCGCCAGCGTCAACTTATCGTCCAAAAATGGATTCAGGGACTTAACATTATCCAGCTTTACAGGTCGAGTATCAGCTAAACACTAAGTAGCCCATAGACCGTGACAAATATAAAAAAAAATATATATATAAAATTTTACTGGTGGTAGGACCTCTTGTGAGTCCGCATGTGTAGGTACTACCGCCCTGCCTGTTTCTACCGTGAAGTAGTAATGCGTTTCGGTTTGAAGGGTGGGGTAGCCAGTGTACTATACTGTGACCTTAGAACTCATATCTCAAGGTGGGTGGCACATTTATGTCGTAGATGTCTATGGGCTCTGGTAACCATCCCCCATCGAAGCAATAAAAATAAAAAAGACTAAAAGAGAAATTTGCAAAGACATTATATCACTGAAATTAAAAATAAATATGTAGGTAATCATTAGTATTTTTATTGCTCCTTTACAAGTCATAAACATAATTAAGACCATAGTTACAGCTTAATTCTATATAATTTTTGTTTTGTTTTGTTGTCGTGAGGTTTGGGGGAAGCCTATGTCCAGCCGTGGATGTCTGTGGGCTAAAAGATAGATAGAAGATTTGTTTTATCATATCTGAAGGTTTTGTAAACACTATAATTTTTGTGGTCAAGGATGATTGAGAATTCAATAGGTGTGCTGTGCTGATTATAGTAATGTTTTTATTAAATTATTGTAATCGAATTTTATTGCACACAGAAAGAACTAATAATATCTTGGGGTCTGGTTGGTTGTCTCATCTTCACAATAAGAGATTTTAATTTTTGATTATAGATATATTTGTAGGGTTGCATTTTTGGGTATTCAGCCATCTAGTTTCTTTATTAGGTTGAATTTGAATGGTAATTCTTGATAGAACCTTAGAAAATACTGAAATAGTCGAGAACTGAGTGCTTAATTAATAAAAATGGGAGAGATTTACCCATTACATTTAAACACATTACAATTTACTATTTCAAAAAAAAAAGTGCTCAATTTTCTATAATCTCTTTTCTCTGATTTTCAGGAAAACTGCAAAGGCTTTGTTGATAAATATATTGAATATGACCCTGTTATTGTCATGATAGATCTAATATTAATATCCAAAGAAGCACAGAGACATGTTTTATATAATACTGATTTTAAGGTAATATCACAAGTTTTTATTATTTATTTGCATTGGGTGCATCCCTGGCTGGCACTGGCTATTCTCCAAGTTGTAACTAGTTTCCAAAGCCTATCGTCATGCAATATTCCGGGAAGACAGGAGAAGTCGCAATACATCTTTTTTTTGGCTCTAGATTTGATATTAAGGAATGACCGATTGAAATCTTATCTCGAATGGTGCTGATACAGTCACTTACGCTCATTTTTTTAGTGTCTGATAGGGTTCCTACATTTTTTTTTTTTTTTTCCGGGCCGATGGCCGAACCTCCTACGAGGTCCCCGCGCCTCGGGGGCGCGCGGGGTGAGACTCAACGATCTGCAGGTGTTGAGAGCAGACCGCGGGCCCAAGGAATTTAGGGCCCACCCACTAAACGACTCCCCTGCACTCTTACACCCGGCGTCCGATCTCCGTCCGGGGTCAAAACCCGGTCAGAGTAAGGGGGTTCCCGCGGTCAATACTACAACCAGACACGCGGCGCCACCCCGAGGACGCCCGACCGACGGGTCGTCGAGGCGATAGTCGACGACCAACGACGTCAGTCTCCGCGGTACGGCGGCCCTTCAGGCCGCCCGGGCGATGCCGCTGGTGTTCCGGGATACCCCGCTGGGCCAGAACCAGCCTGCCGGGTCGGAACGCGATACACCGCCGACCAGGTTGCTCTTCCACAGTATGTTCGGCGACGACAGCGACGACGAAAATGCGAACCGCATCGCAGTCCACAGCCGCCGACGCGTCGTCCCGTCCTCCTGGTGCCAGCGCGCTAGAGTGACGGTAGCGTGCGGCGCAGTCTCAGCCCCCTTAGGTCGCCCCGTGACCATCACCGGGAGGAGACTGCCTCCTCATAGGGGCCGGAGCTGGACAAACGCCCTCCTCCGACCCCCGGCTCGACGGCGGCGGCACGGCGCCAGGGTTCCTACATGCATCAACCCAACTCCTCTGTAAATCAGCCACTTCAAAAAATAATGTCTCTAACCCAAGATATTAAATCCAGTATGTGGTTAGTCCTGTATACTTGAAATAGAATAGAAAGACATAGTTAAATTTGAGTAACTGAAATAGGCTGAAGATGAGTACCAATCAACATTCTTTTAACTTGAAAATTCACTTGATTTTTCAGTCATTCTGGAAGCTCCTTATTACACTAATGATGTTGGAGACATATGGAGTTTGGAAAAGTGACAGTTTATTCAACATAGCCATTAATTCAATGTGCGGAATAGCAGGCAACAATACTATTAATATTACGAATTTGTGAGTATAATTTAATGCAGATGACAAAAAAAAAAATGCCATAAACACACGAACTAGTGGCTCATCTGCCGGTAATAACAGTCTACAGACACTATTTATTTAATTAGTTGTGCCAACAAAGTGATCATCGATACAAAACATCGATGAATTCATAGGAATTATTTATGTGACAAATGCCACCTCAATTATAGGAAAGTGTCAATAATAATAACTCAATAAAATACTCGTAAAACGAAATAAATAAATTCGAAAAAGCGGCGCGACACGAAACCCTTCCTGTCATGGCCGCCGGTAACTACATACGCGATCCTGCAGACCGAAAGGTAAACACGTTATTTCGGATCTTCCCGAGCCATTAACGGTGTTTTTAGGTACTCCAAGCACCGGCCATAGTTCTCGTCGAACCCGTCGCTTGTGACGAAGGGCTCGGCGAGTAAATGAACCCATAGATACAGACCACTGATTTTCTCTCGCCGGATCTTCTCAGTGGGTTGCGTTTCCGATTCGGTGGTAGATTCTGCGAAGCACGGCTCTTGCTAGGGCTAGTGTTAGCAACGTCCTCGGGTTAGACTCCCGTGACCTACTCGCTCGGTGAATCTAGTATGACCCCTCGAGATCACTAGAATAGGTAGAAAAATAGATAAATAGTATAAACATAAAATCCAGAATATAATTTTGTAAATGTCAAGGCTCGTCTTGATATTTTTTAAAAGCAATTGCACAGTAATTACTATTCGATTCTTTAAATTGAAAGGCACTCAAACGATCGGAAAGTTCCTTAACACCATTTATAGACAAAACAAACAGTGGTGGACCTATCTACTAAACAATATACTTGCAGTATATTCCTGTCGCAGAAGCTTCAGTAAAACTCCTTGTTTTCAGACATGTATATATTGCAACACCAGAGTTATCGAAAAACAATTGCATGGCATGGACTCATGATAACAGAGACGATAATAATGATTTATTTATATGGGAGAAGGATTTCTACATTCAGTTCATGTCTACGTTAGCCGGTATGTATAAATAGAGTGTATTAGGGATGTAAACCGGTTCGAAGAAAACCGGAGAAAAACCGGTTTTTATACATACCGATAAATACCGGTTTTTATTTAAGAATACCGGTTTTTTACGCTTTACATTCACAGTTCACACCAGTGCTACCAGATCAAATATACAAGCTACAAATATAAACAAAACCGTGTTTCAGAATCAAATTACCGTGCATTACATTTAAAAACTACAGTGCAATAACCACAATATGGTTAGTAGACTTTTAGCGTACGAAATGAGGACCGTGACCCTAAATATCCACATATCTGCACCCAACACTCAGAAATGGCTTTCGCCAACCAGAGCACATGTTGTCTGCAAAAGAGATGGTGCATCGTGAACTGGGGAATCTTCTTGAAGAATTTTCAACTCTCGCTTTATCATCGGAACGGTCAGAAAAAACCACAAACAATTTTAAAAAGCCTGGTATTCTGGATTTTTTGCATTCGCGAAAACGGGATATTTCGAACGCCACGGCGGCCGCAGTGAATATAGTGCGAATGTATATTGAGACTGGAGCCGCCAGAGTAAACCACACCGAAATTGCTGGCACGTGCTAACATCCAGAAGGAGCAGGCTTCTGAATGACGCAGTGGACCAACTATGCCTCTTGCATCAAAATTTTGATTTAATACAATAGTATTAAATCAAAAATAAAAAGCTTTTTATTATTGGATAATATATATAATCATTAAAAGCCTATATAAAATATGCTCACCCAATTAATTGTATGAAGAAAACTCTTCGTTTGTACGTAAATTTGTTTTATTTAGTGATTACTTAGCCTTTATGGAAAAAACCTAAAAATACCTAAAAAAACCGGTTTTTTGAGAAAAAAACCGGTAATAAACCGGAGCCAGAAATTGTAATCGGTTCACATCGCTAGAGTGTATAGCAACCCTAACGCCTGCCGCATCGGCAGCCGCGTCTGATCGCGCGCCGCGACCAATCAGGGACTCTCGTTGTCGGCTCCCGGCGCGATTCAAAGAGTAGCGACCGAGGGGCTTTCCTTTTGGCAAGCCGCGCGTGCGCCTTTACTGGCGCCGACAGTTCACCCGCAACCATAGATTATACACTTAATATCATAGATTATACACTTAATATATTAGAGATAGATGCGCAACTCTCATTTTTATTTTTGCTTTAGTTAAAGCCCGGTCCAGCAGGCGTCGCTACGGTCGATTATTAGTCTCCCTACCCCCCACCAGGTGGCTTTTTTAGTAATTTTAATATTTTTAATAACTCTCTTTATGAAAAAATCTTATCGTTTAGAATCGCTGAAATTCCCGGTAGTACTTATGAGATATTAAGGAATGTTTGATTGTGTTCAGCATTCTAATCGATAAGATCTTTTCATACAGAGAGAAAACAGTTTTTTAAAATAAAAAGCTGTAATTCTCTGTAAGCTATTTAATTTCCCTATATTACAAACAATTTTCTGTTAAAAGATTGTATGAACGTACAATTGTATAAAATTTCGAATAACAAGGCCATCCGAAATAGCATTTCCTTTTCGATCTTCGAGGCATGCTGATTTTTAATAATAAACTTTCTGTAAGAAATGAAAATAGTTACACGGCTTACGAAACGCTAACGAAGAAAAAAGTATCTTGGAGCCAAGTTATGTCTAAAGAGAATTCAAAACCAGAGTTTCTCAATGTCTAATCGTCTAATATTCTCATAAAGCTAAAAGTTGCTCTAAATTAATACTACAACGTAAAATAACTCACACCAAGACCAAAATAAAACGATTTAAAAAATTAAAAATAAGCGTTACGACATTTTGAAAACTTTTTTTTTTTATATTGTTTTACGGCCCTGGAATTTTGAAAACTTCAAAGCAGTGTTTCCACTTACGTTTTTTTTACACACATTTTACCCTAGTTTCTTTTGAATTTATCCGCTAAAATTTCCTAGCAACTTTCATAAATCCTACTTTATATAAAAAGCAGAAATAAAATACAGAAAATAAACCACAGCATATTATTTAATGTAGGTATATATAATATAAACGCCCCCAGAAGATCATAGATCTATAGGATTAGAATTTTCAAGGAAGTCGACGCATTGCTTTTATATTCTTTTGCTGCCACGCAACGCTAACACTGATTCGGTTCTAAAATTGAGCAATTGTTTGCTGCAAAGTTGGGAACTTTCATGAACCAAGCCGTTCAGGGTTTAATTAGAAGAAAGCCTGTTTCTTTTGTCAGTTTTTAACTATTTGGACACCTGAATAATCCTTTCCCACCTCAGTCTTCGTGAAGAAGGAACTGCTGAGCAAAAGTGAAATGACAATTACAAGGCTTTTCGTAAATGAAATTACCATGACAATCTTTCATTGGTACATGAAGTACCTGTATATTACAATACAAGTAAGTTCCTGGTGACATCAACGACAAATGGTAAATAAAAATTTGGCGG